CCCCGCGGGGTTCTATTTCTAGCTTCTTCCCTGCGACCCCTGACCTCTGGCTTTAACTCCCCAGGGACGGATGATGCTGGGCTCATCCCTTGTGCTGCTGCTGTTGCTGCTGAGGCCCGGGGCCCAGGCGAAGCCATCGCCCGATGCTGGCCCTCATGGCCAGGGGAGAGTACACCAGGAGACCCCCCTGAGCGAGGCTCCCCACGACGACGCCCACGGGAACTTCCAGTACGACCACGAGGCTTTCCTGGGACGGGAAGTGGCCAAGGAATTCGACCAGCTCAGCCCGGAGGAAAGCCAGGCCCGGCTAGGGTAGGAGAGCCAAAATTGGGGGCGTGGAATTCAAATGGGGAATTTGGGGGACAGATGAGGTCGTTATGAGGGGTCTGGGCTAGGAAGGGGAGAGAGTATGGGCTAAGTCCAAGTGCAAAGTTCCACTTCCTCTCCTGGGGAAAAATACAAGCTAAAACTGGGGTCTCAAGATGCATTTTTTTCGTTTGCAGTACTGGGGTTTGAATTCAGGTCATTGCTTACTTCAGATGGGCAGGTGCTCTACCATTTGAGCCATGCCCCCAGTCCTCTTTAGCTTCTTTTTCAGATAGGGGCCTCATGACTTTGCCTCTGGCCAGTGTCTCACCTCAATCCTCCTACTTCTGTCTCCCCAATAGCTGGGATTCCAGGCTTTTACTACCACACTCACCCCAAATATTACATTTGAGGGCAGCAACATCTGTTTCAGATTCTACTTCCAAGCTACTCTTCCTTCTTTTATACCAGAAACCTCCACTCCTCAGTTGGCTGCTCTATAAAATGGGTCACATACAACCAGTTCTCCTCGGTAGGGACTGATGACCTTAAGCTCAGACCTTATTTTATCCATCAGCCCCTGCCAAGGAGGTTCGGCACAGCCAGCCTGGTCTGATGGAGGTGGAGAGCCAGGGAGGTTTTGTTAGCCTCTTTTTTTTTTTTTTTGGTTGGTGTGGGGCTTGAACTGTGGGCCTGGGCTTTGTCCTTCAGCTCTTCAGCTCAAGGCTAGCGTTCTACCACTTGAGCCACAGCACCATTTCTTCTTTTCTGGTGGTTTATTGGAGATAAGAGTCTCACAGAATTTCCTACCTGAGCTGGCTTTGAACCACGATTCTCAGATCTCAGCCTCCTGAGTAGCTAGGATTACAGGTGTGAGCCACTGACAGCTAAGCCAGAGAGGTCATGATAGTCGGGGATTCAACCCTGGAGAGCAGGCCCTGGGGACAGGGATGATGACAGCAGAGACAGTATCACCAGGTCTCTGTTAGGGGTTCATTGGCAATCAGGACCATGAAGGAGGGACGGGAGAGGCTCTGGGGCTATGGAAGAGCTTAAGATGCCACTTGAGGGCTAGGAAGGTGGCTCAGTGGTAGAGCGCTTGCCTTGCATGCCTGAGGCCCTGGGTTCAATTCCTCAGCACCACATATGCAGAAAAAGCTGCAAGTGGCGCTGTGGCTCAAGTGGTAGAGCACTAGCCTTGATCTGAAGAGCTGAGGGACAGTGCCCAGGCCCAGAGTTCAGGCCCCACGACCGGACCAAAAAAAAAAAAAAAGATGCCACTTGACATGGGAGGTGGGCAGGTGAGGGGGGGTTCTGATGGTGGGTGATAGGGTTCCAGAATGTCACAATACAGGAATATGGGGGTTGTGAGGGCTGATAAGGCAAGGGGTGAAGCTTCAGAGTCAGATGGGACCCTGTGTGCAAGGTGTAGGCCTGGGGGGCGTGGTCGTGACTGGGCGTGGTCATACAGGGCGCGGTCGTGTGTGGGCGCATGGCTTCTCCCCTGTCTCAACTAACTTAGCTTGGGAGGGGTCAGGGTCTGGGGGAGGAGTCTATGCGGAGGGGCGTGGCTATCCATGGGTGTGGCCCCCCTTGGTTTACTTGCCAGTCTGCCCTATCTAGGGGGCGTGTCTGCTTGTGGGCGGGGCCGGGCGTGGGCGGGGCCTTGACTGACAGATGCCCCGCCCCGGCTGGCAGGCGGATCGTGGACCGCATGGACCGTGCTGGGGATGGGGACGGCTGGGTGTCGCTGGCAGAGCTTCGTGCGTGGATCGCGCACACGCAGCAGCGGCACATCCGGGACTCGGTGAGCGCGGCCTGGGACACGTACGACACCGACCACGACGGGCGCGTGGGTTGGGAGGAGCTGCGCAACGCCACCTATGGCCACTACGCGCCCGGTACGCGGGGACCCAGCCTGCCCACCCAGTCTGGGGACCCTGGCCCCTGCACCCCAGAATCCCTGCCTCTGCAGCCCCCTCCCCCCACACTCTGAAAACACCTGTTCCTGATGCTCTTCATTTAGGGTCACAACCTCTATGACCCTCCCCCCCCCCGGGGACACCTGGCTTGATGCCCTGTCATCTGACCCCTGACTTCTGAACTCTTATCCCTCATTTGACCTGTCCCAGATTCCTTCCTTTTTTTCCCCTTTTGGTTTTCCCCCCTCTCCCTTTTGTTTGTATTTTGTTTTTGAGATGGAGCCTTGATGACTTTATCCACGCTTTTACCTCAGCCTTCTGAGTAGCTGGCATTACAGGTGTGCACCACCGTGCCCAGCTAATTCTTACACCTTCTGGAAGTCTCATTGCCCCCCAAGTTGGTTCCTCCTGTCTTTTCTATTCAGCTTGGTCTCCCCCCCCCCACGTGTGGCTCACCTACATCTGTTCCCCGCCCCCTTCCTCAGGGGAAGAATTCCATGACGTGGAGGATGCAGAAACCTACAAGAAGATGCTGGCTCGGGATGAGCGGCGTTTCCGAGTGGCCGACCAGGACGGGGACTCCATGGCCACTCGGGAGGAGCTCACGGCCTTCTTGCACCCCGAGGAGTTTCCTCACATGCGGGACATCGTGATCGCAGTGAGTGAGGGTGGAAGTCCCCAACCCTGCTCCAAGCACTCCCCCCCCAACTCAAGCTTCCCATCCCTGCTCCCCTGGCCCTGCTTCTCAGCATTTACCTACAAGTCACCTCCCTTCCAGCATCTTACATGGGGAGCCCAGACCACAAACACACATCAGGGAGGGGCCGATGTCCTTTGTCCATCCCGTGAATCCATCGCTCCCCTCTGCGATCTAATCTTGTCACCTGTATATAATATGTCCCCAGAAGAGCCTCGGACACCCCAATCCTGGCTGAGCCTCAAGAAATCCCCAGTCCCGCATTCTGAGACAGCTCCTACTGGACTTCTCTTCAAGATTCATGTGTAGTATCTACCAGAATCTGCTCTATTCTATAGCGAAAGGATTTTTCTTTTGCAAACAGACGTTTCTTACCAGGCATAGTAGTGGTGCAAGCCTGTAATCCCAGCACTGGGGAGGCCCTGGCAGGGGGTGACCTTGAATTTGAATCTGTGCCTTCCTTGGGTATCTCGGATCTGTGCATTCATGAACACTGGGGTCTGCTCACCCCCCCCCGTGTGTGGTATTACCCCCCAGACATCACCCACCTGCCCCCACATCCACCCCCCCCAGACTTGCACCCTCCCCCCCAAGCACAGTGCCTCTGTCTCCCTAGGAGACCCTGGAGGACCTGGACAAGAACAAAGATGGCTATGTCCAGGTGGAGGAGTACATCGGTGAGTGGGCCTCCGCGGGCCGGGGACGGATGGCCAGCAGGTGTGACGGGTGCCAGGCTGGAGCCTGGTCCTCATGGCCCTGTCTGCTCTGTCCCCACCCCAGCCGATCTGTACTCGGAGGAGCCAGGTGAGGCCGAGCCAGCCTGGGTGGAGACCGAGCGGCAGCAGTTCCGTGACTTCCGGGACCTCAACAAGGATGGGCGGCTGGACGGCAGTGAGGTGGGGCATTGGGTGCTGCCGCCCTCGCAGGACCAGCCGCTCGTGGAGGCCAACCACCTGCTCCACGAGAGCGACGCTGACAAGGTGCCCGGGGTGGGGGGGGAGACAGATAGAAGGGGAGACAGGAACCCAGGTGAGGGACGGAGACTCAGTCGGGAAGGAGGGGGAGACATAGACCTAGAGATTGAGGTGGATAGACCTCTAGTTGGGGGGACAGGCCCAGACAAGGTGGGGGAACAGGAAGGTGGGGCGCAGAGGCCGCATGCACATTCCCCCCCTGCCTTGTGTGTCCAGGATGGACGCCTGAGCAAGGCAGAGATCCTGGGGAACTGGAACATGTTCGTGGGCAGCCAGGCCACCAACTACGGCGAGGATCTGACGCGGCACCATGATGAGCTGTGAGCCTCCGGCGCAGGCCCGTGTCCACCTCGTGGCCCCGGGGAGACCTGAGGACCTGTCGTGTTCCCACTCCCATCTTTTGCTACCCGCCTCTCAGGGACCCCCCCTCCACACCTGCCTCTCTCCTGGGGATACCTGGCTCTCCCCACCCCACCCCAGTCCTCTCAGAGCCCCAGAGAATGAGTGACTCCCCCCAGTTCCCCCAGCCCAGCCCTGGAGACCCTCACCCCAATTACCAAAAGCTCCTCCAGTGACTACCACAGCCCCAAATCTGAGCTTCAACCACATACTCTGAGAAACACTCCCACCCCCCCACCCCAGGCCTCTCCCCATCCCCAGCCCAGGTCCTGCCCTACACCCCCTTCGCCAGGGAGGGGGGTAATAAACTCCAGAGCTGGGTCCCCAGTCCTTGTCTGTCTGTCTGAGGGGTGCTGGGGTGGGGGAGAGCTGGAACACTAGAGGGGTGTTGGGCATGGGTGAGATTCTGGAGTTGGAAAATAAAGCCAGCAGCCTGGGATGCAGGGTATAGGCATCCTGTTTGAGTCTCAGTGCTAGTTTGGCTGGCAGGAAATACAGCCAGAGTACAGGTGGAGCCAATGTTCGGATAATCAATCAGCCTGGAAAGGCTCAGTGGTTAGCCTGGGGAGGGTGGGAAGGAGAGCATTCCCAGCATTCCCTTCAGTCAGCTACAAGTGGAAAGGCCCTGGGGCAGGTAAGTGTGGCTGGACTCAGAAGGGGGCTTGGAGGGGAGGGAGCTGAGGACCCAGAGAGAAGGGACCTGAGGAGAGGACCATTCGATGGAGACCCAGGAGAGGGCGGAGACATGGTTTAATCTTAGGAGGGGGCCAGAGAGAAGGGAAGGGGTTAGGGGGGAGGGCAGGGCAGGGCAGGGTTATGAGAAGACTTGTGATCAGAACCTGAGAGTCCTGTGGAATCCAGGCAGGGACAGAACGTAAAAGAACACCGCAGGCAAGGTGGCTCAGGCAGCCCCATGACTGGAGTTAAATTCACCTTTGGACTTGAGCAGGCCAGACTTGGCCCCAACAATCCCATCCCTGGTACAGCCCAAACAGAAATAAGGTCATCAACCTGGGCTTAAGTGGTGCAGGCCTGTAAACCCCAGACCTCAGGAGGCTCAGGCTGGAGGATCGTAAGAGGGAGGATAGCTTGGGCGGTCTTCAAGAAGAAGGCTGTCCATATAAGGTTTGTATCAGCTTTATCCTGAACCCCAAACTAGAAAAAGCCCCATGTAGCCGGGCGCTGGTGGCTCACGCCTGTAATCCTAGCTACTCAGGAGGCTGAGATCTGAGGATCGTGGTTCAAAGCCAGCCTGGGCAGGAGAAACCATGAGACTCCTATCTCCAAAAACCACCAGAAAACCAGAAGTGGCGCTGTAGCTCAAGTGGTAGAGCGCTCGCCTTGAGCTGAAGAGCTGAGGGACAGCGCCCAGGCCCAGAGTTCAAGCCCCAC